AAGAATATATCATGCTACAGGATACTATATTGCGTCGCACTTCGGACACCCATACGGGCGAATGCCATAATGCGAATTCATGTGATCTGTTCCGCTGGTCAAACTTCGGGATCATATATAAGTACATAAATCGAGAACACACTTTCAAGGTTATGGTTTGCTGTGAAAGTCGCAGAGCAAGCTTCAAACTTGCAGCGAAACGAAGGCTTATTCTTTCTGCGACGGGAAGCAGCTTGCGTGCCCGCCACAGGTCCTACGACTGCATGCTGGACAGGTGATATTGCTCCAAGCGGCTCATCAGCAGATAGACTTGGGCTCGACGAGAACACCAGGAAAGACGTCGGACCCTGGAGTAGATGGTGTACCCTTCGGTGTAGTATGCGCTGGAGAAGAGGGTCCGGTCCGATAGTTCCGGGTGGACGGTATCATCAGGAACTCCGCAGACACGCCAGAGCTCCTCATATCGAGACAAGAAGTGGCGGATTGCGTGCGAGGCGCAAAAGCTGGGCCATCGTAGTGCGCGATAGAAGGACGAGGAGAAGACGGTACGCCACCGAAAAGAAGCGATGGCCCATGAGGAAATAGCATAAGGATAAAACGGGACTGAACGCGAAGGGCCCCGTTAATCAGGGATCCAAACAGATATGTATTTGTCAATCCGGAAGGAACAAATATGAAATAAAATAAGGTGTCGTGTAAAACAAACGCGGGAGCATAGGTGAAGTGGGAGCGGGGTAGGGAGTGGGAAGGGGAAGGGGGAGAGGAGAGGGTAGGATGCAGCGGTTCGGCCAAGTAATAAGACCGGTATCAATCAATTCGTCGCGAGATGGTGTAATATCGGCGCGGGGTGGTGTGATATGCAGAGAATGGACAAGGAAAGGAATGGGTAAAACAGGGTGGAAGAAGAGAGGACGCCGAGGCGCGCAAGAAGAGAGACAGGGGTGTGAAGGATGAAGGGAACTAGCCCCCAAGATAGAAATGGGAAAAGATGTGCGGATGAAGGAAGGACAAGCGACGCTGCGTGACTACACGCTGGTAAACCAGACGCGCGACCACGTGCAGGAACACGCAAACAAAGAAAGGATACAGGGAAAGGAATGGATATAAGACAGCGGTACCGACAGAGATGACGCCAAAGAAGAGGAGAGGAGGGGTAGGAGGATGCGGGATTGGAGATGGAGTGGAAGGACGATGGAGAGAGGGGTAGGGAGCTGGACAAGGGGGAAGAGAGAAGATGAAGATGAAAGCATTCACATCTCGACATCGACGTCCGTGAGCGGGCTCGACGCAAAGAAGCTCGCCTCTATGGACGCCGAGCTGGTGTCCGTGCCTGTCTCGGCCGTGCCCAGCGGCAGCCCGCGGTCTGTATCTGCCCACGGTGGTGCACGGGGTGTATGTGCGTAGCGTCCTTGTCGGCGTCGTTCTCGAGGGTCGCGATGGGCGGGACGTCGTCGCCCTTGACAATGTGCACGCCGGGGTCATCCGCATCCATCATGGGTCAAGCTCGTCGTTGTCGTCGTTGTCGTCGTCCTCCTCGTCGCTGGAGGACGCGGACAAGAGCAGGTCGGACACGGGCGGCGGGGCGCGAGGTCGTCGTCCGCGACCACCCAGACGAGACCACGGAATGGCGAGGGGCGCCGTCGAGTGGGCGAAGCAAAGAAGGTGTTCTGACGTAGTGGTCCCCCTCTGGACGTAGTGGTCCCCCTGGAAGAGCACACCGTCTGGCGGGTGGGCGAGCGTGTGCGCAGTGTGCATCTCTGCAAACTGGGCAGGAGACAGCACGCGCACTTCCGGGTGGGCGGGCAGAGCCGAGAGGGCTTGGAGGGCGGCGGGGTCGTGTACAAGGCCATGGTGGGTGGGCAGTCATGGCAGTCTTTGTCGAGGGGCGACGGCGTTATCCGCTGATCCCGTGTCAGCGGTGACCGAGGGCCTTGCCCGATCAACATCATCAAGAAAGGCGGGAGAAGCTGATCAATATCCGAGTGAAAAGTCCATATGCGGAGATATGGGCAGATCGGCCCAGATCGGAGAAATATGCTCTCCTCTGAAATTATATGAACAGCTTGAAATCCTTTTGCAACTTCTAATTTACATTCGCATTTTTGTCCGACTAACGTCATTCGGATCGCCGGACTTGAGAAGATTTGATCGCAGCTGTCGCTGCCTGCGATCAAAAAAAGCGGGAGAAGCACCTACTAATACCGTTCCGATCACCTTCTATAGCGCCAATCGTCTCGAGTAAGGCTGCGAAAGGCCCCCGGTCACTCCCCCATAGGTCGGTCCGGAATAGAGTAAATCAAGGCTCGAAAATGGGTGTTTTTCGGTCCCCAGAGTAGAGTAAAACGGTCTCGAACATGGCGAACTGGGTCCACCATAGAGTAAAATTTGGGGGTCCGAGATTTTTTTTTTCAGCAAACACGAGGTGTATAGCTACCAACGCGCAAATTTTTACCCACCAAAGTGCCCCGCAGGGAGAATTTTTGGTCAAAATAGGTCCGCGATAGAGTAAATCTGGTTCCAAAGTCGTGATTTTCATAGAGTAAATCAGCCAAAATTTTCGTCCCCAGGCGGACCGACCTATTAGGGAGTGACCGGGGGCCTGCTGCGAACCTTTGAGAGGTGAACGCAGATGTTAGCCAAATCAACCGCTCTCTAATCATGAATAGTACAATATTCGGGAACGCTCACCTGGCAAGGCAGTGGATAAGTCGAATGATCGATAATCACTGCTTGCCAGGGAGATAACATGTGCACGGTGGCGCTGCCCAACGCATCAGTACGGGACCAACGGGGCGCGTGAGGAAATGGGAGTGACTTACTGCTACGACTCTCGCTTTGACCACAGGGGTGGAGAGGAGCGTACTCTTTTACAACCATTGAGGGTTTACAACCTTAGAGGTAAGAGCGTGAGAGGAGTGGAAAGGAATCGGAGTAATCTTGCTCACTCGACGATTAACCTTGTGTAAACTCCTGTTAAAACTCGACCAATTCTTCTCTTTATTTATCTCACTCTATCTTACGGCGTCAACACCAATGTCCAAATGAGGCATCTTTGACACCCACATCTTGTCGAGCATGGGTACGAGGCATTCATTCATCAGGTGTATCTGTTAATCATTTTCTGCCAGAAATAATGTTTTTGTCAAAGTGCTTGTCAAGAGCCTTCTCTTCTTTCTCGCTGCCAGAGTGACACAGATCTGGACTAGCGCGAAGCTGAACCCCATCTATGGAAGGCCTCCGCCGCTTTGAGTAATTAATGATTATTGCCTCGGCAGCGGGTGTGTTTCGAATTTATTTGATTACAGCATGCAGATCCCGAGCCGTAGTTGATCGGCGGAAATATATCTGTGAATGTATTTATCCAAGTTCACAGCTGCAGGATCACCCTTTTTTGCAACCACAGCAAAATGGTACTCATACATTCATATTCAAAGGAAGGAAATAAGGCTCAATATTCAATACCTTTGAGCTCGAATCTCCGCCTGTTCGACTCAGGCCGAGCCCTGAAGGATTGTGATGTAGTTTGTAACGAGTTCTTTTGTCTTACCTCAAAATAATACATATTGTATCCAGGTTCGAATGAATGAAAATACGGCTCGGTGGCGGATGGTCTGCATCTGCTTCAAATGAAAAGGTTGCGAACGGAATTAAACGAAGATCTCGCCTGTTCGACCCATGTACTGCATTTTCTTTTCCAACTATCTCTAAAAAAAAACCCAATATATCCAGGTTCATAGGATTGAAAACATGGCTCGGTAGCGGACGGTTCCGTGTCTGCCTCACATGAAGAGGAAACCTGAAGTGCACAGATGCCGCCTGTTCGAATCAGGCCTGAGCCATGTCCGTTCTCTCTTCATGTTTTTTTCTCAACTACATCCAAAATGGCTCATACATTCAGGTTCGAACGAAGGACAATAAGGCTCGGTAACGGAAGGTCCGCGTCTGCTTTAAATCAAAGGGTCCCTCCTGTTCGATTCAGGCCCGAGCCATATTTGCGTCTCGCATTAGTACCTTTTTTTCAACAGCTTCCGGAGACTGCTCTAGTATGTTCAGGTTAGAAAGAATGAAAATACGACTCGGTAGCGGAGGGTCCGCGTCTGCCTCAAATGTGGGAATAACATTCGAAGCTGAGTACACAGATGTCGCCTGTTCGATTCAGGCCCGAGTCATGTGCTGTCGATGTGTTTTTTTTTTCAACCACACCTCCAAAAATAATACATATGCAGGTTCAAAGAAATGATAATAAGGCTCGGTAGCTCTTTTCCAACCACCTCCAAATGGACCCTCATCCAGCCAGATTAACAAGGAATTCCACTCAGTAGCGGATGGTTCGCCTCTGCAGGCCCGAGCCATATTTGTGTCATCTGGTGCTTTGCTTTTATTAATAACAGCCTCCAAAAAGAAACATAGGTATATTCCGGGTCAAAGGAATGAAAATACGGCTCGGTAGCGGATGGTCCGCGTCTGCTTCAAATTACCTGGCATACCCGCTCGACTAGTGCGGATCCCGTCTGTTCGACTCAGGCCCGAGCCTTACGCCATAAGAGTGGGAATTCTTTCCAACTGTCTCCAAAAAAGCACCAATATATCCAAGTTCACAAGAATGAAAATACGGCTCGGTGGCGGAGGGTCCGCGTCTGCCTCACATGAAGAGGAATCGAAAGTATACAGATGCCGCCTGTTCGACTCAGGCCTGAGCCTTGTACCTGTCGCGTCGGGAATGTTTTTTTCACTGGCGACGTCTAAATAATCTTACACCCATCTAGGTTCAAAGGAATCAAAATACGGCTCTGTCCGCGTCTGCCTCGAATTCGGAGATTGCATGGTCCATTCAAAAGTCTCGTCCGACTCTCGCATCATTTCTTTTTTGCAGCCACCTCCAAAAGAATCAGGTATACCTAGGTTCAAAGGGAGGAAAATAAGGCCCGGTAGCGGATGGTCCGCGTCTGCTCTAAATTAGACGGTGCCCTTCTGTTGATACAGATCCAGCCTGTTCGAATCAGGCCCGAGCCATGTTGTAGTCGGTCTGCATTTTTTTCTTCAACCACAACCAAAAATGTGCTCATATATTCACGTTCAAAGAAATGATAATAAGGCTCGGTGGCGGATGGTCTGTGTCTGCTCTAAATTAAAGGGCCCCTTTGGACTGATGCAGATTTCGCCTGTTCGGCTCAGTCCGAGTCATCTGCAGGTGGAGCACTTTCTTTTTCTAACCTCTAAAAAGATCAGGTATATCGAAGTTCAAGGGAAGGGATATAAGGCTCGGTAGCGGATGGTCCGCATCTGCTTCAAATAATTGTCCTTCATTTCTGGATGCAGATCTCGCCTGTTCGAATCAGGCCTAAGCCATTATTGTTGTGGTCCCATTTTTTTTTTTCCAACCACCTCCAAAAGAGCACCAATACATTCAGGTTCAAATGAAGGACAATAAGGCTTTGTAACAGCAGGTCCGCATCTGCCTCGCGTCAACAGGAACCATGTGAATATGAGTACGCAGATTCCGCCTGTTCGAATCCGGCCCGAGCCATGGGCTGCTGACAATCTTTTTTTTTCAACCGTCTCCGAAAAATCAAGTATATGCAGGACAATACGGCTCGGTAGCGGATACTCTGCATCTGCCTCGAATGATCTGTCTGTACCTCCAGATCCCAATGTTCGACTCAGGCTTGAGCCATACGTCACTAGCACCTTTTTCTTTTTTTTTAACTGTCTCCAAAAAAAAAGAAGTATATCCAAGTTCAGATGAAGGACAATACGGCTCTGTAGCGGATGGTCCACGTCTGCATCTCATAGAGAATATGCCTCGCCTACGCAGATTCCGCCTGTACATGGAATAGCGGCATGTGAGGTGAGGGCCTCATTACTACAGCCTTACTAAAGCGTCATAACCGATACTGCGATAACTGGAACCATGCCGAGGAGGAACACCGAGAAGCCAATCGAGGTGGGTGCTCCGCTGGGGCTACCATCAGATCCACCAGATGTGGTGGATTTTCCGGGCGCGAGGCCTCCACAAGGTGCCTGCGAGGATATATAAAACTCGTCTGAGAACACGGAAAAGTTGGCGCTTCCAGGCACTGAAGAGGTTGCGCGGACCTTTAAGACACGTCAACACGAAGTGGCTGCATACAAATCTAGGTATGTTACATGCCTTCCATGGGCCAGCTGTCACGTTGAAATTATCCATCTCGAGACTTTGGAAAGCAAGCTCCCCTCCGGTCTGAGTCAAATGTCAGTGCTCTGGTCCTCTGGACCAGCAATAATTTGCGCGAAGAGCTTACGATTTTCTGGACTCCCGCACTTGCACCAGTGCGAGTGTTAACTAACTCAAGGGTTATCGATGCGTCCTCCCTCTATCGTGTAAATGTGTGTTCTTGTATTGGCTTTGAGTAAAGCGGACAACGTACTTGAAAATTCGCATCTACAATGGTTATCGAGTATCCGATGCTCGACAGGTTATGCGTAGCATCCGACAGATAGTAGACATCCCCTCCGTTAGGCAGGTCCACGCGGAGGGAGCCAAATCTTGGATCGGAGACGCTGCGCACTGGCTCCCACGCAGGGACCGTACACGCGAAGGGCTTGGCCTGGACAATGGGGAGCGTCTGAGAGCGTTGGGTGAATGGGCCAATCGGAACACCCTTCTGAAAAATCGTCGCGTTCATGCGGATGTGATAATCACCGGGGGGTGTCTGCCACCAGCGTATGTAAGACAACTTGTGGCTCATGCGGGAAAAGGGGGGGGGAATCACTGCGGCGTGTACGCGATACCAAAAACTGATGATCCCAGCACTGTTGATCTCTGCATTAAACAGGTCATTGACCTGTGCAACAGGGTTGCGGAGTATTCGTACCCATGATGTCTGCCACCTCGTTCCCATTATCTATTGCAGTGCAAACATCATTCTGAAGTCGTGTTGCGGTCTGCTGTGCGTACCTTCAGCTTTCCCGACCATCAGTTCAAATGAGGCATTCTTAGGCTGTGGAGGATTGCGGAGATTAGACAGTGGATTGAATCGAAGAGTACCAAGGCAACCTCGTGTGTAAACACCCCTCTCCACAAGCATGCAACGAGGAACAAGTCGCCAGTGTCAGCCATCAACGGTGTGACCAAACTGACGGAGTCATTGAACTGGGCGTGCACGTATCCCAGGACAGAAAAGAGAGTGGAAACGAGGAGAGGGACGTACAACATGACAATAATTGGGGGGAGCACGTCGTCAGGGAAGGACGTTTAAATAGTGCATCACCGAAAATAAAACCTGTCTCGTCGTCTCCGTTTCTGACTGATCCAAACAATCTTACAGACGACGTTGTTAGGGTCAATCGTGAAATGAAGGTATGTCGTACATATTTAAGTGTGAAAACTTTCCGCTCGATCTGGTAGCGATGTATGCTGATCTCGAAGTCTTGTGGTGCGGGGCGCATTTGTGATGCTGCAAGAAGGAAGAGAAAATTCTCCCCAAGTCATGAAACAACATGTCAAAAGCTGAGAGCGATGTGTGTCAGCACTTGGAGATGACTCGTGGTGAAAGTGCTACAGGTGTGTTTGACATTGGTTTAACGTCGTTGACGCAGAGGCTTCCTTCGAGTCGCTAGCGCTTAGTTGGCGTTTAACTTTCAGTCTCAATGCACCAAGAGCGGAAGTACGAAAAGGAATAAGAACGGAAAGAGCATCTGCGGTGAGCTGACTCTGCGGGGGGGCACCCAGTAAGGAGCTGTATTTGGAGGTCGACAGACTCAACTGCGAATCTAAATAAAGGAGCCAGCGTCTAGTACTTTGTTTGAGTGTGGGATGATCATCCTCAGCCAATGATAGCAGTGAAGATTATAATTAGCGGACGTCGACGTCAAGCGGCTGGTGGCGAGGAGGACAGATGAAAGAGCTTCCGGGGGACCTTAAGCTTCTCCTAGACAGAGTAGAATTTTTTTAGCCACGGATATGAGATGGTATGTGCGCGCCCTGTATTTCGGTTTCGAAAGCAAGATCGAAGGAAGATCATAAAGCCCGAGATACCCAGAGATGTGGCAGGACGCCAAAGCCACCGCATTACTCCATTCGATTTTGAACTTCTAAGGACAGGGGCGAGAGTGAGAAGTCCTCTGCGAAAGTGCCATCTTCAATTCAAAATACCTTTCCGCTCTCTGACGGAATCCAGCAAGTAGCTTCCTGCCCGTCTGCAGAGTACTCAGGGGCATACTCAGATAGTTGGACTCCGTCGACAGATACGGATGCGGAGAAGTGGCCGAGCTGCATGAGTTTCGTTCCGTCCTGGTGGTGGTTAGTAGACCAGTGACAGTGACGACTTACACGGGATGTGACTGTAACGCGTCAAATTGAAATCTGAAAGAAAAAATAATCCCTTGCAATAAGTAAGGAAGCACACGGCGGCGTCCGCAGAGATAAAATTGACCAAAAGGAAACCACGTATTATTTATACGAAGAATTCCTATGCCAATCTTTGCACGAGACGAGCATAGCCTATTACTCCAAATCAGAATAAGTAGATTTGAGGAGGAGAGGACCTACATCCAGGATCCCTAGTGGAACTACTGCCGAGCTCGTAGTCCCAGCGAATATTGCCATCTTAGTAGGTACCAGCAGGCGCCGTCAAGGCCTTTTTATTGCACCCATTGTTAGAATTCGTCCCAACGGGGCTAAGTTGGCGAGCACAGGGGGAGGTAAACCAGGAACAAGAAGATCGTTTGTCCTCGTAGGTACATGGTGGTACAGAGGCAAACGGATGGCGTACACAATAGTAAAGTGATGGAATATGATGGGAAAGCTTACATAAATTAGCCTGTGCTCTCCATCAACAACCGTGAGCTCTTTGCTGCTCGCAACCCATTCCGGTCCAGCCTGGAGTATTCCAACACCCATCTCACCGGTGTACAGTACATTCACCCTCTGTTAGCTTCTGTTAATCATTCAAGATATTGTTTTGTCAAAGGATACAGTGATTAACTGGGAAGCGAAACGATCAAGTGCCTTAAGAGTGATTTTCACCCAATTTTTGTTTTCAGTCGACGTATCTACTCGCTGGATACCTGCCTACGAAAAGGTTGGAGTTAATTAGCGCAGTATTGGCGGAGAACGAGTCCATTTAGTGATACCATCAAATTTGATCATTCACAATGAAGCGAAGCACTATGATGTGCCTCAGGCAACGACTTTAAAGACTTGGGGTGGCCATATTTTGAATTCAAGACCTTTAAAACCCCCAATACATGCCATATCTGTGAAATTTACGGACAGCAGCTGGGGCACAGGGGCTGCTCAACCGGTCGGAAAACTGGGCCAAACAGTGGCCCAATATATCTATATTTCTTGGGCTCTAGAAGGGCTACCTGTTCAAATCACTTTGTTAATATGAGTTTTGGATAGTATAGAATGCTCTCAAAAAAATCCGACCCTGTGGGATGTGCAAAAGTTACAAAACACGTGGTGTTTTGCTTCACCGTTTGATTAGCTTCCCAAAGGCATAAGGACTGTATCCAGGTTCAAAGGAAGAGAAAACGAGGCTCTGTAGCAGATGGTCCGCATCTACATTTGATAAGCACGTTGTCAAGCGCACTGCACGCAGATCCCGACTGTTCGGCTCAGGACCGAGCCATGTACTAGCAATAACCTTCTTTTTTTTCAACCGTCTCAAAAATCGAAAGCTTAAATTCAGGTTCATAGGGAAAGGAAATAAGGCTCAGTACCGGATGGTCCGTATCTGCTTCAAATACACATCAGTAAACCACTTGCACGCAAATCAGGCCCAAGCCATACCAGACTACTAGGAATCCTTTTTGCCAACAGCCTCCCGTAAAAGCGCAGGTATATTCAAGTTCAAAGGAAGAGAAATAAGGCTCGGTAGCGGAGGGTCCGCGTCTGCCTCACATAAGCAGGAATCACCTGAATTTGAGTACCTGTTCGAATCAGGCCCGAGCCATGTGCCATTCTGAACGTTTCATTTTTCAACCACCTCCAAAAGAATCAGGTATATCCCAGTTCGAAAAGAAAGGAAAATACGGCTCGGTAGCGGATGGTCCGCGTCTGCTTCTGATTGAACTTTATTTTACATTGGATTGATGCAGAGTCCGCCTGTTCGATTCGGGCCTGAGTCATGAGTCATTGGACGATTCGGTTACTTTTTTTTGCAACCACACCAAATAATCTTACGCACCTGTCTAGGTTCAGATGAAGGAAATACGGTTCGGTGGCGGAGGGTCCTCAACTGCATGTCGTGTTGAAGGTGAAATTTGCGCAGATCTCGCTGGTTAGAATCAGGTCCGAGCCACTCTTTTCGTTCAATATTTTTGGTGCAGCCAGCTCCAAAAATATCAGGTATATCCCAGTTCGAAAAGAAAGGAAAATACGGCTCGGTAGCGGATGGTCCGCGTCTGCTTCAAATTACAAATACAGAGATGCATGCACGTAGATCCCGCCTGTTCGAATCAGGCCCGAGCCATGCGTCGTTATTAGCTGCATTGTTTTTAACCACCCCCAAAAAGATCAGCTATATTCAGCTCCGAAAGAAAGCTCGGTAGCGGATGGTCCATATCTGCCTCACATATGTTGGAGTCTGTTAAACTTGATCCCGGCAGTTCGAACCAATCCGTTGTCGGTCGGTAATAATTTTATTTTAGCAACATCTACAAAAGAAATTCAGTTATATCCAGGTTCCAAGGAAGAGCAATAAGGCTCGGTAGCGGATGGTCCGCATCTGCTTCAAATGAAGAGGTTGCGGACTGAATTACACGCATCGAATCAGGCCTGAGCCATATTCGGCTTGTCCGCTCTTTTTTTTTCTTAAAAAGAATCCAGTATATCCAGGTTCAAAAAGAAAGGGAATACGGCTCGGTAGCGGATGGTCTGCGTCTGCTTCAAATTACTCGTCTATCCATCTGTTGCAGATCCTCCGAGCCATGCGTCGTTATTAACTGCCATCTTTAGGCAGATTCGGCATGTTCGACTCTGGCCAGAGCCATCAGGCCTCCGGGTCTCCACGCACTTTTTTTTTTCAACCACGCCAAAAAGCGCTCAGATACACATGTTCAAGGGAGGGGGTATAAGGCTCGGTAGCGGGAGATCCGTGGCTGTCTCCAATAGAATTTTCGCTCGTTGCGAATGCAAATCCCGCCTGCTCAACTCAGGCTCGAGCCATGCATCTTCGAGATTTCTTTTTTTGTTTTCACCATTCAGGTTCAAAGGGAGAGAAACAAGGCTCGGTAGCGGATGGTCCGCGTCTGCCCTAAATATGAAGTCCGTTTGTGGATTGCAAGCAGATCCCGCCTGTTCGACTAAGGCCCGAGCCATGGCACTATGCTGAATCGCTTTTATTCCCAGCCGCCTCCAAAATCATCCCACCTATCCAGGTTCAGAGGAAGAGAGAATAAGGCTCGGTAGCGGATGGTCCGCGTCTGCTTCAAATCATGACGTGATGAAGACTTGTGCGCAGATCCCGCCTGTTCGACTCAGGCCCGAGCCATAACTACTTTCGTTCGCGACATCCATTTTTTTTTTCAACCATATACTCAGGTTCAAAGGAGGCAAAGGAGGGTCCGCGGCGCATTAAATAATTCGGTGGCCCCGTACCTGTTCGGCTCGGCCCCAGCCATACATAGCATCTCCCGCTTCTTTTACTTATTCTCTTCAACCACACCCAAAACGCAGTCATACAACCAAGTTCCGATGGAAGGGAATACGGCTCAGTAGTGGATGGTTCGCTTCTGCATCTCATCAGGAGTGATTCGTGTACGCAGATCCAGCCTGTTCGAAGTAGGCCCGCGCCATATCGTTGTTGCCTGATGTTTTTGCCAACCACATCCCAAAAATTCAGGTACTTATATTCAGATGAAAAAGAAACTGAATACAGCTCGGTACGAAAAACGAAAGAGGAAATAAAAGAGAACGAAACGGTAAAAGAAAAACGGTGCGTATGTAGCCGACATCGTACGCATGAAAATAAAATAGAAATAAAATAAAACGGGACAGGGTCACGAGCGCCCCGGATCCAAGCAGATCAAATATGAAATAAAAGGCGGGAGCGTATGTGAGGTGGGAGCGGGAGCGGGAGGAGGGTAGAGAGTGGGAAGAGGAAGAGGAGAGGGTAGGATGCGGCGGTTCGGCCAAGTAACAAGAACGAAAGACAAAGAGATTAGTAAGATGGTGTAATACGAGCTCTGCCCTGGTGAATAGGCTTTGTGGTGGAGAGAATTTGGGGAAAGGACACAACGAAAAGACAAAATAACCACGAGAGTGGAGGAAGGGAGGTAGGTGGAAGACACCAAGGCGCGGAAGACGAGAGACAGGGGTAGGAGGATGCGGGATTGCAGATGAAGTGGAAGGACAACGGAGAGAGGGGTAGGGAGACGGACACCGGGGATGAAGATGAAAGACAAGAGACAGTGCGTGGCTGACGAGGACAACGGCGACAACAGGCGTAGAGCCAGAACATCAGCGCCGAACCACGAACGAAGCAAACGCAAGAGAACAAAAGTACTCACATCTCGGAATCAGCGTCCGTCAGCGGGCTCAGCGCAAAGAAGATCGCCTCTGTGCATGCCGAGCTGGTGCCCTTGCCTGTCTCGGGCGTGCCCAGCGTCAGCCCCGTAGTCTGTATCTGCACTCCACGGTGGTACACGGGGTGCAGGTGCGTAGCGTCCTTGTTGGCGGCATTCTCGAGGGTCACGATGGGCGGTACGTCGTCGCCCGTGACGATTTGCACGCCGGGGTCATCCATATCCATCATAGGCTCGAGCTCGTCCTCAGAATACTCATCCTCGCTGGAGGACGCGGACGAGAGCAGGTCGGGCGCGGGCGGCGGGGGCGCGAGGTCAGTCCGCGGAACGGTGGGGGGCGCCGTCGAGCGGGCGAAACAAAGAAGGTGTTCTGGGCGTGGTTGTCTCCTTCCAGGCCATGCAAGAACGGGAACAGAACGCCGTCGGGCGGCTGTGGGATCGTATGTGCTGTGTGCATGTCTGCAAACTGGGCGGGGGACAGCGCGCGGGCAGAGTCGGGAGGGCTTGGAGGCGGCGGGGTCGTGTACGAGGCCATGGTGGGGATTGGCCATGATAGTCTTTATGGAGGACGTCAAGGTTGTCTTCCGCTGATGCCTCCGCCCTCGAGGCTCTCCGTTCCGATCAATCGCCGCTTTTAATTATCTTTGGCACCACATCTTGTCGAGCAGGGGTACGAGAGGGTACGAGCCTATTCATTCACCAGGGTGTATTTGTTAATTATTCTCTGCCAGAGATAGTATTTGTCTTGTCAAAGTTCTTGTCACCACTCCGTCTCTTCTTTGCGATTGCCAAAGTGACACAAACGCCCAGTAGTGCGATGGAACCTCATTTGTGCAGGTGCTAGTAGGTCCCCGTCTGTTTCAAATTTTAGTAATTGAGAGCGACGCCTGGGTAGCGCATGTGTTTCAAATTTCTTTTGATTGAAATTCACAGTGTACGCATATCCCGAACCATAATTCATGGAAATATTTTTTCTTTGATTTAGATGTATCAAGATTCATAGGAACGATAATAGGGCTCGGTAGCGGATGGCCCGCGTGATGAGACGCCGGCCGTGTCTGCTTTATGTAAATCAAAGGGTCCCTGCCTGTTCAACTCTGGGTCCCATTTCCTTTTTCAACCACTAACTTAAAAAATAATACATTGTTTCCAGGTTTGAAAGAATAAAAATACGGCTCGGTGACGGAGGGTCCGCATCTGCTTCAAATAAGAACATTGCGCAATTACACGCAGATCCCGTCTGTTCGAATCAGGCCGGAGTCATATAGTGCTAGGCGAACACTTTTTTTTCATTCAACCACAACGAAAAGGTACTCATATATATCAAAGGAATGAAAATGCGGCTCGGTAGCGGATGTTTCCGCGCCTGCCCAAAATATGAAGTCTGTTTGTGGATTGCCGGCAAATCCCGCCTGTTCGAATCAGGCCCGAGCCATGTGCGATAATCCCCTTCAATTTTTTTTTCAACCACCTCTAAAAATTCAGTTATATCCAGGTTCATAGGAATTAAAACAAGGCTCGGTAGTGGATGGTCAGCATCTGCATTTAATAAGCATGTCATCGAGCGCAATGCACGCAGATCCCGCCTGTTCAACTCAGGCCCGAGCCATGGATTGTCGAAGTCGACTTTTTTTTCAAGCACACCAAATAGTCTTACACACCCATCTAGGTTCAGAAGAAAGGGAATATGACTCGGTAGCGGATGGTTCCGTTTCTGCCTCACATGAGCAGGAATCAAAAGTACACAGATGCCACCTGTTCGACTCAGGCCCGAGCTATACATCGGGATGTATCTTGTTCAACCAGGTTAGAAGGGAAGAGAATACGCTTGGTAGCGGATGGTCCGCGTCTGTTCCAACTTCTGTAGGTCAGTATTTGTATGCAGATCCCGCCTGTTCAACTCAGGCCCGAGCCATGTCATCTCAGTGTTTTTTTTCAGCCACACCCTAAATTCAGTTACTTGTATTCAGGTTCATAGGAATGAAAATACGGCTCGGTGGCGGAGGATCCGTATCTGCATTCAATGCCCAATCACAGATTCGCCGGGCAGATCCCGCCTGTTCGAATCAGGCCTGAGCCATGAGCCTCACATGTTCATTTTTTGGACCACCTCCAAATGGCATTGATATATCTAAGTTCAAGGGAGGGGAATATAAAGCTCGGTAGCGGATGGTCCGCGTCTGCGTCAAATCTGGCCACAATGTGCACATTGCACGCAGATTTCGCCTGTTCGACTCAGGCTCGAGCTATTATCGGCGAGGCGTTTTTTTTTCAACCACACCCTGAATTCTGTTACTTATATTCAAGTTCAAATGGAAGAGAATAAGGCTCGGTGCACGTGGCGGATGGTCTGTGTCTGCATCTCATAATAAATAGGCCTCGTTTATGCAGATCCCGCCTGTTCAACTCAAGCCTGAGCCATACGTCGTCACTAGGTGTATTTTTTCAACACACTATAAAAATACGGTTTATGCACAGCCTACGCAGGTTCGAAAGAAGGGAGATAAGGCTCGGTAGCGGAGCGTCCGCGTCTGCTTCAAATAAAACATTCCCGCTCGACTGATGCAGATCCCGCCTGTTCAACTCAGGCCCGAGCTATGCCTCTTCTCTGGAGCAGCTCCTTTTCTTTTTTTCAACTACAGGAAAATGCACTCATATATTCATGTTCATAAGGATGATAATAAGGCTCGGTAACGGATGGTCCGCGTCTGCTTCAAATTAACAATTTCAAGGGAGGGTGAATACAGATCTCGCTTAGTGGACCCGGCGACAAGAGCCTGGGCTGCTAAGAATACTCAATCAGCTGCGTCGGGATACTGGATGTGCCAACGAAGCCTTGAGCGTCAGCACGAGATAAAAAAGCTTTCCTATTATTTGAACACCTAGGATAATCCGACTGCAGTGTTCAAGTAAGTCAATCACTTCACCAGGTTTAAACAACGACCCCTCGCTCTTGATTTTCTTCTTGACATCAGACGGTTCACACTTAACTCGCTTTACGTTCTTCTTTTTCAGCTCGCTCAGGCGCGCCTACGAAGCTGTCAGTGAACGGCAATCGAGGAACGCAGAGGGGAATACTTCAAGCTGCTTGATTTCATTCACGTCCACGTCATCCTCGTCCACCAGCGTCAGATCCAGGATGTCTGTGGGGGATGCTGGGCGTTTATCTCCAACCCGGGCCTCTGGCGGTGCTATGCCTTCGGCTCTCAGTAGATCTGCCATCTCGATTAGTCGGACACCCGGACACCCGGACGAGACGACGAGCCTCACCGATGGGCCTATATTTAAATACGAAGGTACCCAATTTCTTTATGATATCCGTTCGCCGGCTCTTATTGGAACCGCTGGGGAATGCTGTACCGAATCTTTATCGGGAAGAAAGTCGAAAACCGAGCTCCAAATGCAAAATGCGCGTACTGACTGCACTGTATGCCCAATGGCTTTCTTTGACCGCTCATGCAGTATCTGCGGCTCGAACGATGCCCCAGGCCAGGATGACAGGCCCGGCTGTTGAAGGTATTGAACCTGATTGATTACAAGTCTGATAGTCCCGAAATCAGGAGAAATTGTAGTAGCCAAGTAACTGTCGTCGTCTAAAATAACAGATTACGCTGAATGACCGGAGCTTCGACGGGGAGATATACCTGTTAGAGTTTGCTTTCCGAACACAAGTGGGCGCCTTGTACTTGCTGACGCTGGAACACTGTCGCGGTAGCCCGTGCTGGAATTGTTGCCTCCAAGTTTCATACGTTTGCTCCCGCAAGATATGCCGTCGACCTTCACACTGCCAGATACGTGGCAGGACGCCGAAGCCGCCGCATTATTCCATTCAATTTTGAAGTTCTACGGACCGGCGCGAGAGTGAGAGAGAGCTCACCCGCCAGTGGCTCAGTTCATACCTTTCCGCTCTCTGACGGAATCCAGCAAGTAGCTTCCTTCCCGTCTGCAGAATACTCAGGGGCATATTCAGATAGTTGGACTCCGTCGACAGATACGGATGCAGAGAAGTGGCCGAGCTGCATGAGTTTCGTTCGGTCCTGGTGGTGGTGGTGAGACAAATGATAGTGACGACTTACACGGGATGTGACTGTAACGCGTCAAATTGAATTTTGAAAGAAATAATAATCTCTTACAATAAATATGGAAGCACGCGACGGCGTCCGCAGACTTGGATAAAATGGATACGAAGAGCTCCTGTTCTGTTCTTGAATATTTGAATCTCCCGTCAATTCTCAACCGATTTGGATGACCCGAGTTGCGGACTTAGATACTTTTTAACGGATGAAGCCCGTACCTAGCTAGTTGAAGTTGGATTGGGAGCGGAAAAGAATCGTAGAAAAAATTGAGAAGAAACCCCATAAATCCTGCATGCAGGAGAAAACCCGCGTTCAACTCATCTTTTCCTTCAACCTGAACGCTTCAATGGGAGAACTCAAAAGTTAGTCTCTCCTGGACGACGCTTCAACAGCACTCTTTGCGAGTAGCTCGGCACACCGTATGTATGCACTTTGAGATAAGAGGTTTACGTTGGGGCGCCGTACCGAATTCACAATCAGTAATACTGGAGTGCGCTGCTCGCTGAGCTGCAAAAGAAAATAAGTGGTGCGGGCATCAAATTCAATTCACCAATGCAAGCCAAAGTTGACACCGATATTGATATCGATTGCTTTGCATGGACACAATACTTGCGATATTCATACATTACACATACATACATACATATAGTTAGTTCCCCCCAGGGCTTCAATCCTGTTTTCGCGCAGGCTCCTTGAATCTGACGTCGCAGCGCACATAATTGTGGTAGATCTCGTCAGACGTGACGAGTGTGTCTTCCTTGTCCTTGTTCGCGGGATCCAAAAAGGCCGCGAGGGACTGATATATGGTCAAATGTGCGCTAGGAAAACTACAGGCGAAGAAACATACCTCGTGGAACTCGAGGAAAGCAGCGCCTGCGAATGAGATGTTTATTTCAATGTGGATGAGAGGCAAGAGACAACGAACTGGCGGGAGCATATGCGTCTCCGTGATCTTTCACACCGGAGCCTCCGTGGATCTTCTTGCGGGCACCCTTCGAGGGGTTAGCGAAAGTGTTGGAGTAGAACATCACTCCGGATTCTACGTTTTTCAATTTGTGAGTTCCGAATATTAGACGGAGGGAAGATACGCTAACGGTTAGTATCGAACGCGAGCTTCAACCCAGACTTGGCTGAGCGCAACTCTACGACGGGGTCGGAGCGATCACCGCGTCCAGCCGGTGAAGGATCGTTCGATGGCCGCAGAACGTCCTTGAGCAGGTCCACCTCTGCGAATGACGAGACCGGAATCCGCGTGGGCACCTTCTTGAATGTTTTGAAGGAGTAGAAATCATCTTTTGCTTTTGTTTCAGATGTGCCGCATTTGCGGAAATTTAAAGCACGAACCATAGCCACTTTCGGGAAATTGGTCGCCAATAGTCTTGGATGCATGGTCGTGGGGAGTCCCAGAACTAGGGAGGAAACCGATTGGGAGACTGTCTGCATCTCTGTTGACGATGCGGTCCGACTATAAATACGCTGAGTATAGATACTTTCAACAAAGATAAATGCTACCTTGATTGTCAAAGTATGATTTTTCACGGAGACCGTGTCTGAACTGTCGCGCTGCGAAGCTTCAAGGTTGAATCCCCAATGCTAGCAACCAGGTCATTGAGAGGAATAATAACAGTCGACGTTGAAGTTCGCACCTGGGTCAGATTAACTGGCGTCACAATTTTCCGGTCGCCTTCGTCCAACTTCGCGCGGTATACGAACACAACACTGCCGAGATCGTATTCTTCGCTCTCAGTCGTATCTCCAGGCTTGCGGTATATTCTCTCCTGCGGTCCGGGCTCAACCAGCGCTACGAGAACTTCGACTACCAGTTTTCCCGGGAAGCCTTGATCGCCGTCAGGAGACACTAAGCGGAAAACGGCATGGGATGAAGGCGAAGCAGAAATGGGGATCTGGGCTAATTCCTTCGCGGTAAAAAGCGTCGGTGGTGCATCCGGCGTAAGTAGAGTCCAAGCAACGGCGTCAAAGCCGACGGGACCTCCGTGAAGTGAAACCCGGGGACTCTCTGCCGCGTATAGCATTTAAATATTTCCCACTGTAAGCAAATCTAGCAACTAACCGTTGGCCAAGGCAGTTATTTCGCTACTGATTCCATTCCTTTCGATCTTGTGAGTTCCTACCGGGAGGCGGTTTGAATATCTTCCGATGACCGAGTTGGTGTATTTCTGGGTTTCATGTCCCTCAGGCGATTCGGGCCCGATCACAATATCGTGGGTCTAGAGGAGTATGCGAAGGTAGTCAGAGACTACCGAGTCCTTCAAATCGGCTAGATCTGAGCTTACACGTCCATCTGCCTGAACAAAGAGACGGTGCAGAGTCAGTCCGTGCGGCAAGATCTGTTCGTTGTCAGAGCCCAGGTATCGGCAGAGAACTCAAATCTACCTCAAGTGCCAATGAAGGCGTGAGGGAGGGTAAGGCGAGGAAAACGGGTTCGAATTTCGACATGTGGATTGAGAATAGTGTCGCGGTGCTCGTCGAGTCGTTGGTTAGTTACAAGCTGCAAACCTGAGTGGATTGCGGCCCGAGCGAACCGAAAGATATTGGCGGATCAACCCGACCGAAATCAACCCGATGTTGATCCGAGCTTGCTTTTCTTGCTCTCGTATACATCCTCCTCGAGCTCAGGACCTCAGACTCCCTAAGCACCTCAGGAACTCTTCTGTCGTCCATTTGCATACTGCTCGCAGAGTTAATATCTGTCAACATGCTGGCACTCTCCTCGGTGCAAAAATCGTTACCATGATAAGGCCTACTAATTGCAATAAGCTGGCCAAGAGTCAACAGAAAAGAACAGAAAGGCGCCTGACCATACACGTATCTATATGGGGAATCACTTCAAAACATTGGGGGCGGTCCTTTGTGCCTCTGTGCAGCTCTGTGCCTGGGCACCATAAGCCCGCGTGAGCAGAGGCGAGCGGAATTTTAACAAGCGAGGTACGAGCTTCATTCGTTAAAGCGTCTGTCTAGGGGAGACCAAGGAGAGACTAAGCAGAATACAGACTGGTAATAGCACTTGTGAACGAATGTCTTCCAAGTGCGTGGACTGCTGGAGAAGCTGGTGCAGATTGGTTATGTGTATAAGTAATTCCAATGAGCCGAAGATTCTTGTTGCACGAGTGTCGTGCCTTCCTGCCCTTCACGTCGGAACTAAATGATATTGTCAGGTCATTTACTGACCCCGGGTATCTGTTCATGCGCCGCCAAGAAAATATGACAGCCTGATAACGACCCTGCGGTGTTACTGCGCTCCAAGACGCGTTTATTTACTTCCCGGTCCCGAAATCTAGGCAACATGCGAAGTGCTCATTGGACAAACGGACGCTGGAGATGGACAACTTCAACACGGCGAAAGCTTTGGGACGTTGATACCATAATCCTTTCGAAAAATTCATGTCCAAAAAAAGGCCATCCTTTCCTACGGTGCAGGACCATTATTCGGAAATAGATCCTGGAATTACGTCCAACCTGGCTTGTACGTCCCTCCTCCATACCCCGTTGAATATCCCGCTG